GCTTCAAACGTAATTTCATGATCATAGAATTATTTACGAAACTCCATAATGCGATTACAATTTATAACATGTTGATGTTACAAATATAAATTTAAAAATATAATAATATTATTCCCCTAATAATAATTACACACCTATAAAATGCAAAAACTAAATTTAAGGTTTAAAACTAAATTTTATGTGTAGTCTTTATGTATGCAATGATTTAGGGCTGTGTTTCATTTTTCCTATCTTTTACTATTTCCTTCCATAAAATATTGAATACTCACTGAACAAACGGGAGATAAATATGGGTTGGCCAAAATCAAACAAAAAAACAAATTTAAAGCATAAAACAAAAATTTCAAACCGATTTATACAACATGGAACTCATGAAAACCCTTTCTGCAATTTGAGAATAACATAGTACATTTTCCATGAGCCAACATCATTGATTCCAGTACAGTTAAAAGATTTAGAGCTGTGTTCCATTTTTCCTATCTTTTATTATTTCGTTCCATAAAATCTTGAATATTCACTGAACAAACGGGAGATAATTATGGGTTGGCCAAAAACAAACAAAAATAAATAAATTTGAAGCATAAAACAAAAATTCCAAACCGATTTATACAACGTGGAACTCACGAAAACCCTTTCTGCAATTTCAGAATACTAGAGTACATTTTTCATGAGCCAACAGCATTATGGGTTGGCCAAAAACAAACAAAAAAAAAATGCTCTCCCACCAAAGCTAGGAACAGTCCATTGAAATACCAATATATTTGGTTAAAGGATCCTAAGGTAAATCTTCTCACATAATTTAACTTCCTTTGTTTGGAACTTTGATCCACAAAAAATCAAAACCATCAACTCGAAATATCTTTTTATCAATTTTTCCATCTAATCAAACTCTTTCTTCCATTCAAGAAAAAAAAATGTCCCACATGCATTTAATTCATTCAGGTGCTTAAATTTTGAAATCTCAAATGTATCTCATTCCAAATTATATAAATGAAAGGATGTAAAATATTGAATTTCTAAACATACAAATCCTCCATTCTCTTTAATAAGGAACACCATATCAATTAGATTCTGTATCCAAATATATTGTTTTTCTGCTCTATTCTCTCACACGGTAAACTTCATTTTCCTTTTTATAGGTTGACAACTTCCTGCCTCACATAGCACCTTTCTAGCTCCTTCCAGTTCCTGCTCTAAAATTCTATATATAATCCCAACATTTATAATAAAAAAACAACCAAAAAAATGTCCCACCTACATTTATACATAACCAACAAAAATATATTCCACCACCGAAAACTGAAGGTTCTAGCCTTAATTCATTCGTGATATGCATTATAACACAGATCACACAACTGCTCTATTTCATTTAACATTATCATTCCACTTATATGTACTCATTTCCAAATCCCATAAAATTTTCCTTAATAAAAATTATTTTCTATCATGACTTATAAAATCTTACCATAACACCTTTTAATTTAATGTTTATGTAGGGGAACAAAATTTAAGCTACATTATTCGAGAACCCTTTCTGCAATTCTAAACCGATTTATACAACGTGGAACTGACGAAAACCCTTTCTGCAATTTCAGAAAACCAGAGTACATTTTCCATGAGCCAACAACATTGATTCCCGTAGAGGTAAAAAATTTACACGGGAGCGAAAAAAGGAAAGAAAACACAGAACCTGAAGATATCGTAGAAGACCTTGGATGCCGAAGGTTTTGCCGGTGGTCTTCGACAGTGCGCGGCGGGCGATTGCAGCAAAACTTCCAATTTCGTCTACAGCCGGGCGGTGGTCGATTTCAGTGAGAGAGATGAGTGAGATTGGGGATTTTGTGTCTGTCGGTTTGTCTTCCTTCCCTTTGTTTTGATTTCATGTCTTATTTGTTTTTTTGTTTTCTTTTTCGTGGTTTGGTTTCCAACATTAATTGTCATTTCACCTGACAATGTTTTGGTACAAGGACACAAAATGTATTCTAATGATTCAGAGGGGCAAAATTGTCCTGAATTGACATTTTTGATAATTCATACCCAAATTTTGACACCCAATGAAATATCCTCTTCATTTATTTTAGTTGAGTAATCTTCAAGATTGACACAATCTTAACCAGCTCAATATTAACACCTAGTAAGGGCTTCGAGGCTTGATTATGGTGGTGGACTTATATCGAAAAGAAATATCGAAACGAAATCTAAATAAATAGGGAAACTTACAATATATATTTGTTTAGAGTGTACTTATACTTTATATACTATGCCCCTATTTGGCTCAGATTAGAATCTGAATCAAAGTCAAACAATCAATATGAACTACATCTTTCATAGATATCACAATTTCTTAATCACACATTTCAAAAACTTCTATCAAAAATCTATTAAAAATTTAATTTTAATCTCCACCGAACACCAATTATATTTTATAAATTTAGCGCTTGTTCGAGCCCCATTTTTGCCCAAAAAGTAGGAAATGTGTGGTTAAAAAAGAAAAAAAAATGTTATGAATTTACGTGTAATATTATTTTAATGAAAAATGTGTGGTTGAAATGATATTAAATCATTGTCGAAGAATGTATTTGATGGAAATAATGAGACTCAAACAAAGATTTACACTTTACACGCTACGTTTTACAATATTAAAATAAAAAAATCTTTGTACTAGAATATTTGTACTTTACATACTATTCGAGTTTAAGGGGTGTTTGATTAAGTTTATGATAAAAGTTTTAGCAGATTTTACTAACATTTAATAAACATTAAGGTCCCCTGAAACGGAGAGATGGCTGACCAAGCCCAATTTTTATTAAGGTAAAACAAAAGAAAAATATTAACAATAATAATTAAAAAATAAATTTAAGGTAAACTTTGTTTTCTACGTACCAGATGAGTAGAT